GGTTCCTGAGATATTAATTTATCTGTAAAAACGGGAAGGCTGACTTTAAATTTGCCGCGTCACCTGCTGGCGGGGAAAACTACGCTAAAATTTCAGCCGCCTAGCTTTTGTGGTTCTCGAGTTGAAAGTGCGGGACAAAATGTGGGACACACACACAAACAACCCCGTGAAAATATGCGTTTTGTAATGCTGTTACACAGCACAAAACGCATAAAAAAAGGAAGGTAGGGAATGAGAATTGGAAAAGCAGTAAAATTATTATAATGGAAAGAAATTCAATTTCAGCAACCAGGCACACCAGAATGCAAAAATTTTAGAATTCTTCAGCGGAACAACGATAATGCGATCCATCTGGCAGTTTCTTTCACAAACGGATCCCAACAGCACAAGGTGCTACAGCCCCGTCCATTATCACATACGACCAACTGCACAGGAAGATGCGCTATGATGGAACCACAGTGCAATCTGATCTTCTGACCAGTAATGCTACAATGCCACGTTTTTCACCACTCGTGGAGCGTGGCAACTTCTTGATTATTAATTCCGGGCCGCATTCATCCACATAATTCCAAAGAGCTGTTCAACAGGACCCTTCCATCACACTGGCGGTTTCACCAGAGATTTTTGAAATTACCTAACTGCCAATCAGTAGCCCGTTTTCTCTATTTCTCATTACTGCCAGCTAAGCTCTTCCCGCCGCACACTGCCTTGATAATATTGTTTATGCTAGCCAGGACCCCAGTACTCCTAATTCTCCTATCACATAGAGACTAGCGCATACGGGCGCAGTGTATTACGAATACCAAAACTGTGAGTATTCACAACAATCAAGTCGAAAATGCTGGTAACTATAAATCAAAAAGTGCTAAAATGTTTCGAAAATTCGTATTTTCTGGCGTGAAGTAAACGAACTGGGAATTCCGCCTTCAAACGAGTCACTGTGACTTAATAAAGTCCAAAAGGACACCGAATTTTTAGGCCAAGCGTATGCGCAGCCTAGCAAAATAGCTTTGTTCTGGGGCCCAGCAAAATGTCTTCCTTTCAAGGTCTGTAGAAGACGAGGACTGTTTCCGAGACTGGTGCGCATTTGAAGTGCCAAGCCCGTGATAAAATGACCAGTCAAGACTTACTTCCGGCACAGATAACTCCTGCAGTATTAAAGTTTATGAAGCTAAGGCAGCGCAGTTAGTGCTTGCGCGTTATTCTCACTGCGTACAACATTAAGAAACGTCAAAAGCGAATTCTGAATTCAAAAGGCGCTCAGTGATCAGCGAAACATCGCAACGTACCGGACTGTCATAAAAAAGGAAAACGAGCGGTTCATCTAAGTGAGAAAGACAGAATTCAATACCAGCTCAAACAGCAGAACGTCCTGTACAACAAGAATGACAATAGGCATAAATCTGGCATAAATGCGTCCGCTCACAATCCCTACCTAGCGGCTTTCAGACGAACAGGGCTACTTTGCTTAGATTCTGAAACCACGCTGCACTAAAGTTTCGCAGCTCACATCATCCAAATCACACAGGCCTCAGGGATGAAGAGAGAACGTATTCAGAAGTAGTTTCAAAATAAAATTGCAGCAGCGCTCTCCGCTGTAAACCGATTTTGAACGAAAGATGCTCCCATATATGTGAAAATAACCCCAAAAGCCCAGCAGCCATTTGTGTAACAGGAGGCTCCTGTTACACATTAGTGTGTTTTTTTTTTCCCAAAAAAGGCGGGCTAAGCAATACAGGTGTAAAAAGCGTCCAAAAATTAGTAAGTTTTGTGAATTAAATGTAAAAATCCGTTAAAAACAGCAACTTCTTTCACTGCTCTCCCTCTACAAACTTACATATTTGACGAACGAGTG